TCATGTTCTATATAGACTGTATTTTATGTTCCAGTGATGCTGTATGTCATGTTCTATATAGACTGTATTTTATGTTCCAGTGATGCTGTATGTCATGTTCTATATAGACTGTATTTTATGTTCCAGTGATGCTGTATGTCATGTTCTATATAGACTGTATTTGATATTCCAGGGATGATGTATGTCATGTTCTATATAGACATGCTGTTCCAAATTATCAGTAGTGCCAAGTGTTCTACATTGGCTATATTTTTAATTATATTCCAAAAAGTATGCAATTTTACAGATAAGCTGTATGTCATGTTTTAGGTAAGCTATATCTAGTGTTCAACAAAGGCTCTATTAAAAGAAAGATATGTCACTAAGTCACAAGCATCATTGACTAAACCAGAAAATGTACAGGGGCAAGGTAACACATTTTTGTGACCACCATAATTCCCTCTTACATTTTTTCATAGACCCAGTTTATTAATGTTTAGATTAACAAAAATGTGTTTCAGACTCGACCATGTATGAATTATAAATTGTAAGAGCCTTTGAATTTACATTTACGTCAGAAATTAATAGATCTCTCCAAACAATTAATTGTTGACAGACTCTAATCACAAGATCGTGTGGCATAGGAAGGTGAAGGGAGACAACTGGGTAATTTACTCCCAAGAGCAGATAGATGTTATAGAAAAGGCCTACACTAGTCACTGTAAATCCTGTGTTATTAACAGTCCAAATAAGCAAACAAGGTAAGTAGTGTTATAATCCTGTGTGATCAGTTATCCAGACCATCAAACAAAGCACTTCAAATGTGCAGTTACTGAATAATCTGTCTTCTCAATGAATCGGCAGGCGTCCATTGTACATATCACAAACTAAACACCTACTGGAATTACTGAGTTTACAGAGTCATCCAAGTTCATGATAATGACATCTATAAGTTTTTAAACAAACATTTCCAGTAAACAATGCAATGATTTAGCATTTCCCCTTGTTCTAGTATTTCCCATTGTAATGGAACAGAACAATTGATCTGGTAACTGATATGTATTATGCAATGACAATAAGTAGCGTAACAGATAATCAAAATGTCACATTTGTCAGACACAAGTTTGATTTTGTCAATTTTAGTTATCGGCTGGACTTCAATAACCTAGAAAGCACAAACCTAAGTGACAAGAGCTGTTCTGAAATACGAAGATCTGGTATGTATTAGTGATGTTCTACAAGATGTATTCACTCATTATGTTAATGTGTGAACTTAGGTATTCTGTAGTTGACCTGCTATAATAGAATAACAATTGTTTACACAATGATAGCACACACACAAGTTGTAAGTTATCATAAATGTTGTCGGTAAATGTTTTTATGCCCCTGCACTCATAAGAGAAAAACTTGGACAACAATATGAATGAAAATGGCCACCAGATTGATGACATTGAATATATTAAAATAAATAGAGCCACACTAAGGCTCTTACCAAAGGAATCAATAATATATGGAAAATAATATGAAAAATTGAATAACCCAGTAGCTGCCACCACACATGCATGGCAGCCACTACTACAAACTATAACAGCTAGCCCAAGGGGGGGTTGCCAAAAAACCATAACGACCTTCATGAGGACTATAGCTATGAATGTCTTCCCCACTGTAAATGTTTTTATATTAGGTCACACCTAATGGTACTATTAGTGGTGTACTGTGAAGTCAAATTTCGTGGTTTCCCTACAAAACACCATTTCGTGGGTGCATGAATTTGTGGACCACACGAACGAAGAATGCTTTATATCAAACTTATGATTACTTTGTGGACCTATTAAATCAATGAAATGAAAAACACCTGGAAAATCAATGATTTCACAGTAGGTAAAACATAACAGGATGTATGTCCTTATTATCATGTAAGGAGATCAGCCCTATAACACATTGCCTGTAACATCCACCTCATCAGCACCATTCAGTCTAGATCTAGACATGTCACCTTTTCTGTTTCAGAAATTACTTACAATGAATATGCTCAGAGATTTGACACCCTATAGTCTGAAATACCAGGGAGCAGCTCAAGACCATATTGCTGACCACAGCTGGACTAGTGTGTAGGGGTTCTAAACATCGTGTAAATCTTACAGCTGATCGTGACCACAGCTAGACTGTTGTGTAGGGAGTCTAAACATTGTGTAACTCTCACATCTGACCACAGCTGGACTAGTGTGTAGGGGATCTAAACATCGTGTAAATCTCAAAGCTGATTGTGACCACAGCTAGACTGTTGTGTAGGGAGTCTAAACATTGTGTAAAGCTCACAGCTGATCGTGACCACAGCTAGACTGTTGTGTAGGGAGTCTAAACATTGTGTAAAGCTCACAGCTGATCGTGACCACAGCTAGCCTGTTGTGTAGGGGGTCTAAATATCATGTAAATCTCACAGCGGATCATGACAAGAGCTGGACTGTTGTGTAGGGTGTCTAAACATTGTGTAAATTTCACAGCTGACCACAGCTGGACCGGTGTGTAGTGTTTCTAATCATTGTGTAACTCTCACAGCTGAACACAGCTGGACTAGTGTGTAGGGGATCTAATCATCGTGTAAATCTCACAGCTTATTGAGACCACAGCTAGACTGCTGTGTAGGGGGTCTAAACATAGTGTAAATCTCACAGCTGACCACAGCTGGCCTAGTGTGTAGGGGATCTAAACATCGTGTAAAGCTCACAGCTGACCACAGCTGGACCGGGGTGTAGTGTGTCTAAACATTGTGTAAATTTCACAGCTGACCACAGCTGGATCGGTGTGTAGTGCGTCTAAATATTGTGTAACTCTCACAACTGACCACAGCTGAACTGGTGTGTAGGGGATCTAATATAAACATCATGTAACTCCCACAGGTGATCACAGCTGGACTGTTGTGTAGGGGGGCTAAACATTGTGTAAATCTCACGGCTGACCACAGCTGGACTGGTGTGTAGTGTGTCTAGACATTGTGTAACTCTCACACCTGATCACAGCTGAACTGGAGTGTAGGGGGTTTAATATAAAAATCATGTAACTCTCACAGCTGATCGCAGCTGGACTGTTGTGTAGGGGGGCTAAACATTGTGTAAATCTCACGGCTGACCACAGCTGGACTGGTGTGTAGTGGGTCTAAACATTGTGTAACTCTCACATCTGACCACAGCTGGACTAGTGTGTAGGGGATCTAAACATCGTGCAAATCTCACAGCTGATTGAGACCCCAGCTAGACTGTTGTGTAGGGAGTCTAAACATTGTGTAACTCTCACACCTGATCACAGCTGAACTGGGGTGTAGGGGGTCTAATATAAACATCATGTAACTCTCACAGGTGATCACAGCTGGACTGTTGTGTAAGGGTTCTAAACATCGTGTAAATCTCACAGCTGATTGAGACCACAGCTAGACTGTTGTGTAGGGGGTCTAAACATTGTGTAAATCTCACAGCTGACCACAGCTGGACTGGTGTGTAGTGTGTCTAAACATTGTGTAACTCTCAGAGCTGATCACAGCTGAACTGGTGTGTAGGGGGTCTGAACATTGTGTAACTCTCACAGCTCATCACAGCTGAACTGGTGTGTAGGGGGTCCAATATAAACATCATGTAACTCTCACAGCTGATAAGAGCTGGACTGTTGTGTAGGGGGGCTAAACATTGTGTAAATCTCGCAGCTGACCACAGCTGGACTAGTGTGTAGGGGATCTAAACATCGTGTAAATCTAACAGCTGATCATGACAAGAGATGCACTTTTGTGTAGGGGGTCTAAACATAGTGTAAATGTCACAGCTGATCATGACAAAAGCTGCACTTTTGTGTAGGGGGTCTAAACGTTGTGTAACTTTCACAGCTGACAAGCGCTGGGCTGGTGTGTAATAACTCTAAACATTGCATATGTCGCACAGCTGACAAGAGATGGACTGTTGTATTGCCTGTAGGGGGTCTAAACATTGTGTAAATCTCACAGCTGATTGAGACCCCAGCTAGACTGTTGTGTAGGGAGTCTAAACATCATGTAAATCGCACAGCTAATCATGACAAGAGCTGGACTGGGGTGTAGGGGGTCTAAACATTTTATAACTCTCACGGCTGACAAAAGCTGGACTGTTGTGTAGGGGGTCAAAACATTGTGTAACTTTCACAGCTGACAAGAACTGGGCTGGTGTGTAATAACTCTAAACATTGCATATGTCGCACAGCTGACAAGAGATGGACTGTTGTATTGCCTGTAGGGGGTCTAATCATTTTGTAACTCTCACAGCTGATCGCAGCTGGACTGTTGTGTAGGGGGGCTAAACATCGTGTAAATCTAACAGCTGATCATGACAAGAGCGGGACTGGTGTGTAGGGGGTCTAATCTAAACATCATGTAACTCTCACAGCTGATCTTGACAAGAGCTGGACTGGTATGTAGGGGGTCTAAACATTGAGTAAATCTCACAGCTGACCACAGCCGGACTAGTGTGTAGGGGATCTAAACATCGTGTAAATCTAACAGCTGATCATGACAAGAGCGGGACTGGTGTGTAGGGGGTCTAAACATAATGTAAATCTCTCAGCTGATCATGACAAGAGATGCACTTTTGTGTAGGGGGTCTAAACGTTGTGTAACTTTCACAGCTGACAAGATCTGGGCTGGTGTGTAATAACTCTAAACATTGCATATGTCGCACAGCTGACAAGAGATGGACTGTTGTATTGCCTGTAGGGGGTCTAATCATTTTGTAACTCTCACAGCTGATAAGAGCTGGACTGTTGTGTAGGGGGTCTAAACGTTGTGTAACTTTCACAGCTGACAAGATCTGGGCTGGTGTGTAATAACTCTAAACATTGCATATGTCTCACAGCTGACAAGAGATGGACTGTTGTATTGCCTGTAGGGGGTCTAATCATTTTGTAACTCTCACAGCTGATCTTGACAAGAGCTGGACTGGTGTGTAGGGGGTCTAAACATTATGTAACTTTCACAGCTGACAAGAGCTGGGCTGGTGTGTAATAACTCTAAACATTGCATATGTCTCACAGCTGACAAGAGATGGACTGTTGTATTGCCTGTAGGGGGTCTAAACATTTTGTAACTCTCACAGCTGACAAGAGCTGGACTGTTGTGTAGGGGGTCTAAACATTGTGTAACTTTCACAGCTGACAAGAGCTGGACTGGTGTGTAATAAGTGTAAACATTGCATAACTCTCACAGCTGACAAGAGCTGGACTGTTGTATTGCCTGTAGGGGGTCTAAACTTTGTGTAACTCCCACAGCTGACAAGAGCTGCCTGGTACTGCCAGCCAGATTAAGTTAACTATGACCATGCATGCCCTGATCAATAAGCCATGGACCTGCCCTGATCAGTTGTCTAGAGATTTTGAACTTGAAGTTTGTTTTTGTGCTGCCATTAAACGTTTTTTGTGAAATGAAAAATGAAATTGATCTAAAATAAAAAGCAGTTGGAAAGATATTTGTCACTATCCATCAAGAGTTATTAAAAAACAGTTATGCTGCTCTCCACCAAATCTTATGATCAGTATTCTTCTACATGGTTTAACTTTAACATTTTTTAGCTGTAACATTGTCAGGTATATACCCGCTGTTATAGACTGCCTTGTCCGGGTACCAGTCCAAATATGTACAGTTTTAAAAGATTGTAAATTATTTTTTGTGTGCCATACAGGCCTTTTACAGAACTATGTTAGTATGATATTGTTTAAGAAGAAGCCATTCAGTGTGTAATTAACTTATACATGTTTGCCTGTTTACTTTTATATTGGAATGTTGAGTCTCGTGGCTATGTAATCAAATTTGTGTTGACCACTGTATTTTACGTCATTTTTGATGTCAAGACTCAATATATTCTATATGATATATACAAATCATTGTAAGATAGAGATTTTATTTGTTATATTGTATACAAGTCCTGAGATGTATGGTGGAGATGCTGTACATAATGTAGTTCCATACAAGTCTTTTGCATTGTGATAAACTGTAGAACCACAATTTGTTTATACATTATATTCTGTACAACTGTTTAGCAACATGATAGAGACACTCATCTATACATTATATTCTATACATTTTATTCCTTAAGTTTCTTGATATACATTATATATTGTATACAAGTCATTGTTTGTGTGATAGACACTGTATATATTGTATACAGGTCATTGTTTGTGTGATAGACACTGTATGATAAAGACGCTACACATTATATTCTATACATTTTAATGCTTAGCTATTTGATATACACTGTATATAGTGTATACAAGTCATTGTTTGTGTTATAGACACTGTATATAGTGTATACAGGTCATTTTTTGTGTGATAGACACTGTATATAGCGTATACAGGTCATTGTTTGTGTGATAAACACTGTATATAGTGTATACAAGTCATTGTTTGTGTGATATGCACTGTATATATTGTATACAAGTCATTGTTTTTGTGATAGACACTGTATATATTGTATACAAGTCATTGTTTTTGTGATAGACACTGTATATAGTGTATACAAGTCATTGTTTGTGTGATAAACACTGTATATAGTGTATACAAGTCATTGTTTGTGTGATAGATACTGTATATAGTGTATACAGGTCATTGTTTGTGTGATAGACAATGTATATAGTGTATACAGGCCATTGTTTGTGTGATAAACACTGTATATAGTGTATACAAGTCATTGTTTGTGTGATAAACACTGTATATAGTGTATACAGGTCATTTTTTGTGTGATAGACACTGTATATAGTATACATTATATATTGTATACAAGTCATTGTTTTTGTGATAGACACTGTATATATTGTATACAAGTCATTGTTTGTGTGATAGACACGGTATATAGTGTATACAAGTCATTGTTTGTGTTATAGACACTGTATATAGTGTATACAGGTCATTGTTTGTGGGATAGACACTGTATATAGTGTATACCGGCCATTGTTTGTGTGATAGACACTGTATATATTGTATACAAGTCATTGTTTGTGTGATAAACACTGTATATAGTGTATACAGGTCATTGTTTGTGTGATAGACACTGTATATATTGTATACAAGTCATTGTTTGTGTGATATACACTGTATATATTATATACAAGTCATTGTTTGTGTGATATACACTGTATATATTGTATACAAGTCATTGTTTGCGTGATAGACACTGCATATGATGGAGACTGTACATAATGGATTCTGTGAATATTGATGGCTATTGGGTGGAACTGCTACTTATGATACATTCTGTATTAATGTTTCGTTGTATGAGAGAGACCCTGTACATAATATATTTTATACGAGTCTTT